CATAGATTGACTGCCATTTTACTCCCAGGCCAAAAAAGCGCAGACAGTTAGCGAGCCATTTTACTACATTCCATCCTTCTCCCAAGCCAAAAAAAGTGGGTCTCTGGCTCCATTGCAAATGATGGAAATCTTTTTTGTATATGCAATAAGGAAAAAATATTATTGCGTTGTTCTTGAATCTTGATAGGAGTTGGTGTTCCAATCCCAGGTCTGAAGGAAAAAAAATACTAGGGAGTATCAATTTAGGTCTTAATTGATTTAAATAAAAGTCAAAGGCCCTCGAAAATTGCATGGATTGACTGCCATTTTACTCCCAAGCCAAAAAAAGCGCAGACAGTTAGTGAGCCATTTTACTATATTCCATCCTTCTCCCAAGCCAAAAAAAGTGGGTCTTTGGCTCCATTGCAAATGATATAAATCTTTTTTGTATATGCAATAAGGAAAAATTATTATTGGGTTGTTCTTGAATCTTGATAGGGGTTGGTGTTCCAATCCCAGGTCTGAAGGAAAAAAGTACTAGGGAGTATCAATTTAGGGCTTAATTGCTTTAAATAAAAGTCAAAGGCCCTCGAAATATAGTACAAGGTTTGGATAAAATTGTAAAGAAATTGAAATAAATAATTAGGAAAATTGTAAATAGAATCTGAAATAAATAATTAGTACTTCAAAAATCAGAGTATGAAATGTGAAATGGTTCTAAACCTTAATTGTGATAATAATTAATTAACACCCTGATTGATTAAAAAACGTGAAGAACAAACAAGCCCAAACATGGTGTTAAATTTAGTTTTTCCTTTGAGATTTTTATCGTTCAGGTCTTAAGATGATAATTTTTTTTGCTTTCAGGTCCCAAATTGAGGATTTAAGTATTAGCCAATTTTTCGGGGTTTAGTTGACAAAATTTGCATCTTTTTAAATAAGGGTAGTTTATTCTAAAGAGATTCTTTCTCTGTATATTTCAGATGGAGAAAAATGCTGCAGCCGGACGGACTCCTTCTAGTGCGCCTGTGCCAACACCTCCTGCACTGGACTTGTCTTCCCCAAAATTCAGTCATCTATCACCTGCAAATACAACCCCTGCTTATGACACAAAGTCTGTGAATGCTAAAGTTGAACTCGGACACTTCAGTCTGCCACCTTCATATGCTGAGGAGGAAAGGCCTAGTCACACCGTCCTTTCAACTGGTTCAACATTGCATCAATCCGAAATAATGCGGCAGCAACCAGGGGAATTAAGAGGTGAAAATTTTCCATCTGGAGGTGACCCGCAATTGCTTCAGAATCCGTTTGAAACCCAGAAAACACTAGGCTTATAAAATTGTAGGTGGAAAGAAGTGAAATCTAGGAAAGACAAATTGAGGGAAAGCGAGAGCCTAAAACTCCATATATATAATTTTTATATTTTGTTTGCTTATTAGTTTAGATCCTTTTGGTAAGCTAAAAATAAAATGGCTGAATTGGTTGAAATGTTGAATTATAAAAAATATAATTAAAAATAATCTAAAAAAAGGATAAAATCTCATATCCAGCAACTTCAGCCAAAAAGTACTTGTAGTCCAACCTTTTTCCATTATTAACTATTCAATGTGTTTGGTCAGATAAATATGTAGTACGTATTATTTTGTTTGAAAAAGTAATCCTTATCATTCTTCTTTTCATTTTCCTATTTGCATTTTTCTAGGGAAAGAGATAATAATAAATTTTATGGGCTGTGCAGTTAGCGGTGGAACCCTGGAAGCTATCAGGGAAAGAATGAAAAGCATGCAATTAGGAGCTGCATCGACTGGGATTCCAGATCCCGCAAATCCCGGAAACATGGAATTCATGTCCACGAACAACGGGGGTATTACCCAAGGAGATTTTAGTCAACAACATGCTTCTGCCGCTGATCATAAGAGCGCAAGTGAGATGTCCCAACATAGTAGCACGGTCCTTCCCATGGATGAAAAGGCACTCTCGGGACTTCAGGCAAGAATGGAGAGGCTTAAGAGTGGGTCTATTGAACCACTTTGAATCGAAGCCGTCTTGGTGTTATTGCCACCCGTATGTTTATATATACTATCGTATATAGACACACATAATCGTCTCTCAGATCCTTTTGACATAATGAAGAGTATCACCTATTGATCTGGCAGCGGAGTAGACTAGTGCTATGCTTGATGTTGGTTAGAAGGATTGCGTTGTGTATATTGTAGCCTGTTAGGGCGGGTGGGGTGGGGTGTCATTGTTTCCTTTGTCTTGATTGTATAATAATTAATGAGCTTCAAAATGGTCACCACGAGTCTTGCTATCCAGTTTTGTAGTGAATTCTACTAGAGTTGCTCTTTCCCATCGCCTTGATTTTGCCTACACAAATGTTTATATCATTATATTCTTATTACAATGAATCCTGATTATTAGTAATGCCTCTGGCGAGGTAGTTCATATTTCATGCTACTGCATCTTCTGTTTAAAGACAATACATTCTGATTCTGACATTCGTTGATAATGTTAACGACGCATAATCACTTGCAGTCTTGCAAGTTGCAATTATCATAATTGACTGATGATAAAGTTAATTACTGCCTAAAAATACATTACTTTTTACTAGTGTTTACAATTTAAATATTTAGAAACTACACTAAATATTCTAAGTTAGTGGCATAAATAAATAAATTTAATAAATATATTCTAGTAAGAATATTTTCAATATTGCCCGCCAGGTAGGCATGGACCCGGTTCAGGCCGCCCGGCCCGCCACTGTGCGGGACCGGAACCGGCTCGGTTCTCGGGTCCGGGTCCGGGTTGGGCCTAGGCCTGGTAGGGGGCGGGTCCGGGCTCGGGCCTTGTATTTGGCGAACCGGCCGGGGCGGGCTCGGGCCTAATTGATTTTTTTTTTTTCATTTTTGGGGTAGACCCGGGTTGGGCTTGATGGTTAGGAGGGGTTTTGGGGGTGGGGGGTGGGGGGTGGGGGGGGGGGGGGTTAGGAAAGCAAAAAAAAAAAAATTAACCAAACCGGAGGCCCGGCCCGGATCCGGTGGCTGCCCGGGCCAGTCCCGGGCCTTCCTTCCCAAAAAAAGCCCGGCCGGGCCCGGCCCGGGTCCATGACTACCGCCAAGGTTGTAAACGGATCAAATAATTTGTGCTCGATTTTCGATTCGAATTCGTATAAGTTGATTCGAATTTGGAAGATTCAAATACAAATTGAAATAAGAATATTAAATTTGATTTGATTTGTTATCAAATACAAATAAGAATATCAGTGTGTTCGATTCGAATATTAATCAAATATATTCCATTAATATTAATGGTAATATTAATATCAATAATAATAATAGTAATAACATTATAATAACTTTTAAAAAATAGCAATACCCTCAAACTCTCAAAGTGTAGCCCATATAAACTTTTTTGCATACAGATTCCGAGTCCATTTGTAATAAACCAGAATATAAATACGAATATAAATCAATTTTTTTTGTTCAAATGTCTTTTAAAGACAATTCAAATAATTATGTATTCGATTTGAAGAATAAAATTAGAGTTGTTGGACTTTGATCCATACAATTATAAACTTACTTCACACATTATAGATATAATTTCTCATGTGTGTGTTAGTGTTTACTTCAAAAGGTTTGAAATAGATTTACATTTATTAATCATAAAATTAATTCACTTTAGTATATTGTGCACCATCTAAAAATGCATTGATCCACTAAATTTGAATCCTAAAAACACATATTAAGTCATAGCTTCCATTTGCAAAACAAGTAATAGCATGCATTTACAACATAAAGAATACGGAGTATAAGAAAAGTTATTTTAAAGTGATATTTGACTAATATTTAAACTATGCTCAGATCGATTCGATATTCGTATATGATTCGTTAACTATTCGTATTGTTAAACAAATACAAATACAAATCGAAATTAATATTCGTTTCATATTTGAATTAGAATTCGTATTCGAAAAAATTAAACAAATACAAAATCTCATTATTTGACTCGATTCGATTCGTTTACCGCCCACGGTTTTTTACTGCTCTGGAAACTCTCGCTCTTATTCCGTGGTGCACAAAATGGTACTCCCTCCGTAACTTTAAAATCTTCCCATTTGAAAAGTAGGTAGATTAAGAATAGTGAAAAAGAATATGAATTATTGAGGGTATAATAGGAAGATAGTGGAATAAAGTGATGGAATGTAGGATAAATCCAAAAAAAGTAGTTGTAATAGTGTATTATTTTCAGAATTATTGTGGATATGATGAGAAGATTTAGAAATGTGAAGATTTTTTTGTTACGGACGAAAATGGAAAGTGAGAAGATTTTAAAGATAGGGAGGGAGTATAAAAAAAATTAAAAATTATTTTAGGAAAGGCACAAAAGAGCCATAGTACAGTAGCAATCATTTATTGCAGTCGTTTTGTATTTGTCTACAATAATTGTTGAATTAAAGATCGGTGAAGATATTGACCAACGAACGGCATCGATACTCATTGTTCAGTAAGTCAAGGCCTCAAAAAAACAGGTCACAAGAAAAGCATCGAAGGCCATGGTGGTGCACATCGCACAAGCACGAATGGGAAGAGAAGATCATATAGAGCTAATCTTGGCCCCAGTCCGGTCTGACCGGCCCGTGAACCGGCCCGATACTATTTGGGTCCGGCCCGGCCCGGTACTGTTTGGGCCCCACGCGGGGTGTTAGGGCGGGCCGGGTACGGGTCACCCCATTCTTTGGAACCGGCCCGGCCGGGCCCGGTTCGGGCCTTTTTTATTTTATTTTTTTTTTTCATTTTTTTTTTGTTTTTCCCGGGTTGGGCTGGGTGTTGTGGAGGGTTTTGGGGGTGGGGGGGGGGGGGGGGGTCGGGGGTCAATCAGAAAGCAAAAAAAACATAAACTGACCGAAGACCGGCCCGGCCCGGACCCAGTGGAAACCCGGGCCGGTTCCGGGCCTTCACTTAATATTAAAAAGCCGGATTGGGACCGGCCCGGGCCGGAACCGGTCCATGACTATATAGAGCCTCCTTCAGCAACCGGAAATAACCATCTTACCAGCCTATAAATATAGAGAAGGGTTTTTGTCTTGAATATTACTAATAAAAGGGCAATAGGCAAAAAAGTGACCTCTTTTAAAAATTCCTGAAATGTGACTAATAAATGACAAGCTTGCTTATATACACACTGCTACAGTGACACGAGACACAGTGACACAAGACACAGTGACATCCACCCTCCTTGTCACCACCTCCCACCGGTGACTGCCGCCGCCGCCGCCAGAGACCGTCGCCGACCATAGTGACAACGACCATAGTTACAACGACCATAGTGACACAATATTGACGTTGTCACTGCCTAGTGACACTGATTTTTCAGTGACGCCACCCGTTACTATGATCGTCGGAAAATTTTCGTTGTTGTTGTTACTCCGACTGCTACCACTGCCCTGTCACTATGATCGTCGGAAAATTTTCCGGCTACAGCTCTGCTGGCGCCGTGGACGAAGCCGACCCCTTCCACCTGCCAATTACTGCCACACCACAGCTCAACCATGGTCAACCCTAACCAGATCCAGTTCGGACAGATCTGAAAGTCTAGCAGCCACAATCCTTTAGATCCGATAGAGATCCGACAGGATGGGCGGCAGCAGCAGAGCTCGAGGTGGTGGCTTTGTCCATGGCGGGTAGCAGAGCTTGAGGCGGTAGCTTCGTCAATGGCGGAATCAGAGATCGAGGCGGTGGCTTCGTCCATGGCGGTAGCAGATCTCGAGGCGGTGGCTTCGTACATAACAGCAGCAGAGCTCGAGGCGGTGGCCGGCTTCATCCACAGCGGCAGCAGGGCTCACAGGCGGCGGCTTTGTCCAAGGCGGCAACAGAGCTCACAAGAGAGGGATGAGATGCAGAGGATATTGAGTTCACAGGAGAGAAGGATGCGTTGCTCTGTGCGTGAAGCCTTTTCCGTCCAGGGGGTTTGTGCGCAGGAGGAGAAGGGGTTGTGGTTCTGCTATGCGGACAAAGTTTTTAGATCACATTTTTAGGAAAAGCAAAAGGAGCCGTATTTTGGTCTCTTCAAAGTGCCCAGGTCATATGTGTGCCATTCTTTCTATAGGGAAAGTTTTGGTTGGAAAAGGTGTGGAACTAAAATAAATTTGGAGCTTAATTGCTTTGAGCATCTTGTTACTTATTGTGAAACGCCCAAGGATTGAAAATTTCGGATTGTGGGAAGCAGGCCGTGGGTTAAATTGTGGCCTATATAATTGCACTTACCATATGTCACACATTCACAAATACTTTTTCTTTTTACAGTTATGACTACAATTGTTCATTTTTAGTAAATGACTATTACTGATTCATTATGATGAACACTCGTACTTTTATTCTATTGTTATTCATGTTATAATTTGTTTGTAAATTTGAATGTTCAACTAATGATTTGCACATTATTTATATTTTATTAGAATAGAATAACATCGAAAATCTTTCAAACCATATCAAAAGTTGGTATTGGACGGGACATGTGCTATAGATACGTCTTATGGAACGGTACTGGTTTTTTTATTTTTAAAAGAACCTTAATTTAAGACAAAACATTATTTTAAAAAAACGTTCCGAACCTTCCCACACTCGACCTTGCTATTTACTATTGCCCCCGTCCTGAAAAATTAAAAGAGCCCGACTATAGTCTATTTCATTTTTCGTGATTGTTTAATTTTGAACCTTAGACATTCAATATAGGCTTATTACACAAAACAAATCCAATGTTTGGAGATATTGACCAAATTAGTCTATCGTATACATATTTATCTAAAAGAAGCCATCGTTTAAATACTCAAGACAAAATTATGATCCGTCTCATTTCATTGGTAATTATTTAAATACATACATTGTTTTGAAGCATAATTATCCCATATCCATGCTATTTTGGCTTCTAACAATTGTTAATACTTCGATAAATTCTTGTCATTGTAGATGTAGTCTATACATCAGATATAAGAGAGAGTAGGGTTGGTGCTCTGAGCAGTTTTGGAAGAGTAGATGTTATATACGGAGTAGTTTTCTTAAGAAAATAAATAAAATCAACAATGACACATTGACAAATTGACCAAATCAATAATTCTTCTAAACGATGATTGTTTTTAAATAATTATGAATACATTAAGATGGATCATAATTTTATCTTGAATATTTAAACGGTGGCTTTTTTAGATAAACATATATACTCCCTCCGTCCCGGAAAATTGTTCCTGCATTGACTTGGAACGGAATTTAAGAAAGTGGGAATAAAGTGGAAATGTATGGTTGTGGTTGAGTAAGAAAAAGGTAAATGAATTGTAGCCACAAAAAACTTTCCAAAAGAGGAAAGGGGAACAATTTTTTGGGACGGCCCAAAAAGGAAACATGGAACAATTTTCAGAGACGGAGGGAGACAGGGAGTATATATATATAGGGAAAAGTGTCAAATAGGCCCCCCTACTAATACGAAAAAGTCAATTAAGCCCCCGAACTCAAAAAACATCCAATTAAGCCCACGAACTAAATATAACGAGACAAAACAGTCCTTTTAGCAGGATATTAACCGTTCCCAGTTAAGTTGCATGTGTGGCAAATGATGTGGCATGCTTTTACATTTTCTTTTTCTCTTTCTTTCCTTTTTTCCTTATCTCTTTTTAACTGCTTAATTATCTGCTAAAAGGACTGTTTTGCCTCGGTTTTTATAGTTCGTGGGCTTAATTGAGTGTTTTTTGAGTTCAGGGGCTTAATTGACTTTTCTGTATTAGTAGGGGGTCTATTTGACAGTTTTCCCTATATATATACGATAGACTAATTTGGTCATTAATCCCAAACGTTGGATTTGTTTTTGTGTAATAAGCCTTCAATACCATCTAAAGAACACTTTATTTTATCTTGTATGAGACCATAACAAAGTGATAGAATTTATCTATTAAGTAATTTATTTATTATACATAGAGGCATAGAGCTAGAGAGATTCATGAGTAGGCTTCACATGAATTTGTGGAGATCGATTCTTGCCCAAGCCACGAGTCTCACCAATTTTTACTCATCATTCTCTTTTTACCTTCGCATATCTCGGATAACTAGGGTCATCATACTTTTCCCTTACCATTTTAATATCATGAAGCATTCATGCTCAACCCCAATTCAAGAAAAAAATTCATATGACATAAATATTCAATTCATAACCACAATTACATATCTTCCCATTTCATACATGTCTCTCTACCTCTCCAAATAATAGACATGGGGGAAAGAAAAAAGTTATACCCCCAAAAGGAAAAAAAAAGGGAATAAGGAAACTGTTCTTCATCTTTACCATCTTTGAACAAATTTATATATTTTGGTGTAGAAATGACAAGTTTATATGTATGTATTAATAAAAGATGAGAAAGATGGGTTTGGAGGAGAAGGCGATTCACAAAGGTAATAATGAGAGATATGCAGAAACCACCAATGGTGTTTCACATCCTGAAGGAAAGGGAAATAGGCCTAACAACAAATATGTGTTAGCTTGCGCCATCTTTGCCTCTCTTAATTGTGTTCTTCTTGGATATGGTTAGCCTTTTATTATCGTTACCAAAAATCTTATCCTTAATTTATAGTTGATATGAAGAAACTCTTCAACACAAGGACAAACTTTTCAAAATAGTTTAAATTGCATAACATATACATGTGCATGGAGGAAATAGCTAGAAATGTCATTTGCATACTTTTATTGTTCAGATGTGGGTGTTATGAGCGGAGCCATTATATTCATGCAAGAAGACCTACAACTCACAGAGGTGCAAGAAGAAGTCTTTGTGGGAATCCTAAGTATAGTTTCTCTCTTGGGAAGTTTAGCAGGAGGAAAGACATCAGATGCCATAGGTAGAAGGTGGACAATGGCTTTTGCAGCAATGGTTTTCCAATCAGGTGCCGCCATAATGGCTATAGCCAACAGTTTCAGAATCTTGATGTTCGGTAGATTCTTGGCTGGAATCGGGATTGGGTTCGGGGTCATGATCGCACCTGTATACATAGCGGAGATATCCCCTGCCATTGCCCGGGGCACTCTCACTTCGTTCCCTGAGATATTCACGAACCTCGGGATTCTGCTCGGGTATGTTTCGAATTATGTGTTTTCGGGTTTGCCCCCGCATATAAGCTGGAGAGTCATGCTTGCCGTGGGGATAACACCCTCAGTTTTTATTGGGTTTGCACTATGTATCATCCCGGAGAGTCCTAGATGGTTGGTAATGAAGAATAGGATTGATGAAGCAAGGTTGGTGTTGTTGAAGACCAATGAAAATGGTAGAAATGGGGTTGAGGAGAGGTTAGCTGATATTCAAAGAGCAGCGGCCGATTGTGCTGGCGGAGACAAGTATCAAGGGAAGGATGTATGGGGTGAGCTTTTGAGCCCGTCGCCCGGTGTTCTGCGAATGCTCATCGCCGGTTGTGGCATTCAAGTGTTTCAGCAAATCACAGGTACATATTTCATCATTAGCTTGATGGAACTCTAACACTCACTCGCATAAAAAGTTTTGAGTTACTCGGCTACTCCTATTTTCGTGTTAATTTTCAAAAATAAAGTGTCAAGTATAAGTATGATTTTTCACTTCAGCTTTCTCAAATACTTTTGTTATTACACCAAAATCCCCAATCATAGTTCCATAGGGGTGTTTGGAACTGATTCTGCTTCTATTTCTTTTTTAAAAGCAGAAACACTCCGATATATGATTCTGGAAGGAGTAGAAGCAGTTTAGAAACAAATTCAAACACCCCATAGTAGTTTGATACTAGTAACTTTTGAACAATTCATATTGATTGATTTTAGAGCTTTTATATAAACAGACCATGAATGTAATAATGAAATTTCAAATAGGTATTGATGCAACTGTGTATTACTGTCCAACGATCTTCAAAGATGCTGGGATGAGGAGCAACTCCCATCTCTTGGCTGCAACTGTGGCTGTTGGATTCACAAAAACAATCTTCATCCTGATAGCTATTATGTTGATTGACAAGGTAGGTAGGAAGCCATTGTTGTACATGAGCACCATTGGCATGACAGTTTCTCTATTAGCTCTTGGAATCACACTCTCTTTGCCTTCCTCCTCTTCATCATCTCATGTCAATCTGGTAATCCTCTTTGTTTGTTCAAATGTGGCATTCTTTTCTATCGGAATCGGTCCGATATGTTGGGTTCTATCATCGGAGATCTTCCCGTTGAGGCTTCGAGCTCAAGCGTCGGCCCTCGGGGCAGTCGGCAGCAGAGTTAGCAGTGGGGTGGTGGCCATGTCTTTCCTATCTATGTCTCGTGCCATTACTGTGGGAGGGACGTTTCTGTTTTTTGCTGCTGTTTCCGCTGTGTCTGTGGCCTTTGTTCATAAGTGTTGCCCTGAAACAAAGGGGAAATCATTGGAAGAGATTGAGATGATGTTCCAGAATGATAATGGTGGAGGAAGAGTGCATGTCGAAGATGCTGAACTACTTCTAATGCAGAGACAAGAATCTGTGTATTAATCATTAAAAAACAAATTCATTTTGCATCTTTGATGTTTTAAACACAAATGGGAGTAATAGTTTGAAGTAAAACAGTACTTCAAATTTCATGAAATCTTACGTAGTGAAATTATTTTTTTGTTTTGAATATTCAAAAAGCATCAGTTAGTGCCTTCGTCCTATTTCAGTCCCATTTTGTCAACACACATAACTCTTAATCTCTTATTTTATATATCAAATTTTTATTAAATTTGATTTTGGTTTTTGCGACTTTGTAAGACTTTTAATGTAGTTTCTGAATATGTAATTTTTTCTTCTAAAAACAATTTCAGTGCGGACATGGATCTGTTTGCTTTATCATCGGTCAAACATCGTAAACCGTAAAGTATCTTATAATTCGGGACATAGAGAGTATGACTTTTTATGAGATTATAGACTTATAGTTAACTTCCTTTGTTTAAAGAGGAAAAGAGTCAAATAAGTCATTGGGAAAAATACCAATATTTTACTAAAACATGTCCACTTTCCCATAATATGACTTAATATTATACGGAGTTTATTTACCACTATATGACTAGTAATGGGTGTAGAGGCATACGACATGCTTTAATATAGCAGTTACATTTGTAAGATGGCATATCATTAATGCACCATTCTAGGAAAAAAACTATCCAAGTCATACATTGAGAAATTGTATCTCTTCTAGTCATACATGTGTTAATTTTCTCTATCGTATAAGTACACTAACTTTAAATATTTGATCAATTTGGTCATTTATTTAATTTTTGACATGTAATAGTAGGTTTTTTATATTAAAGAACTCTAAAAAACTGTTAAAACGTGAAGATATATAGGTAAAATTGTGAAAAATTTAGAATGTAAAAATCAATACTTTTAAAAATTTGAAATTATTTGTATATTCTACATCTATTTAAAAGGTTTTTACATTTTATCTTTTCAATTTTTTAGATTTTTGCTTTATTTTTCCAGTTTTCTGATTTTCTTATCTTTTTATTTTAACGTTTCAAGTTATTTATCTGTTTTTACATTTATGCTATTTTTTAATTTATTATTACATTCTTTTTCAAATTTATATGAATTTTTATCATAATTATCAATATTCCTGATTATATTTTTTTTTTAAAATAACCTGATATAGCAAGTTAAGATGACTTGACTCATTGTATTTAAAGAGTAAGCATGCTAATATGATGTTTTGTTTAGTACGAGAACTTAAGTGATGGATTATAAATAGTAGAATGGTCTATTTAACATTTTACCCTTGTTTAAATTAGCATTAAGAATTAGAAAATTTACATATGTATTAGAAAATTATACTGGATTTGTGATTAAATACAAAATTTGATTTGAATATGTTATAATTTCAAGCATAAAATTAAAGATTGGAATATAGCTTCATTTGGTATAATAGTATTTGAGACTTTAATTTGGACATAAAGAATGTAAGCATTATTTGTCTATAATGCCCCCCTATATATTTAAAATAAAAATCTTTTAATGCGAAAACATACAGTAAATTAATAGATAACTGGTGGATAAATATGATAAGACTTAGCATATCCACTAAGACACTTTTCATGACCATTTATCATATAATAAGCATCTTAATAGAGCAACTCACATGGCAAAATATATCATACACCCGGATGTACCGTGTGATTTGGTACATCCAGGTATTTTTGTAATTACTTATAAACTTGAGGTGGTTAATTACGGAGCATGGCATTTGCTACTCTTCCTTGTCGCTGCTCTTCCGTTTGTTCTTTTTCCTTTTCTTAATAGTTACGAGTAATTTACACTTTTTCCTTATCCACTTATCATTTGGTTGCTCCTTCTCGTTTTTCCTTTTTACCTTTTTATAGTTCTCGTTTTTCAGTTTTCTTATCTTTTAATTTTGAACTTTAAGTTTTCTATGTTTAAGTTTTTATTTTCTTTTTCATGCTTTGGTTTTTCTTTTTTCTTTTCCTTTAATTTTGAACTTTATTTTTTCTAACTTTAACATTTCTTTTTCTTTTTTCTGCTTCATTTGTTTCTTTTTTCTTTTTGTATATACTTTTGTCTTCCGGTTCTCTAATTTTGAACTCTTACTTTTTTATTTTTATGTAATTTTTCTACAATATGTTTTTCATGCAATTCTTTCAAAAATTCATATTGAATAGCAATTCAATAAAAACATATACTTTTCTCACTCTTCTATTAAAAGCTCCAATCTTCTAAATAATTATGAATATATTATTTAATTTAAATGTGCATTGATAAATGAATATACACAAATGAATATTTGAACACATTAGAGATTTCAATTGAACTTTTGAATTTTTTTGATGCTCATTTTGTAAGTTATGAATGCTCATCTGGTATTGGTTAAATGCTCATTTGTAAGTTACATATGCTCATCATCTGGTATTGGTTAAATGCTCATTTTAAAATGTCATATCAATGCATATTTTAAAATGTCATATCAATGCATATTTCAAGTCATATTAGAGATCATGATACTCAATTAAAACGTTTTGATGCTCACTCAACTAAAAAAACTTATGATTGTCATACTAATGCTCATTTTATAATTTATGAATGCTCAATCGGTACTCAATTGCACGCTTCTAATACTCAATAGAGGAGGTTTGATGCCCAATGAAAAAATGTCTTCATGCTCAACTAACAAAGCTTATTATTTTCATATTAATGCTTATTTTGTAAGTTACATATGCTAATTAAAAGTTCATTAATGCTCATTTAACAGAAAGCGTTATTTTTATCTCAATATAGGAGGTTTGATGCTTAATGAAAATACCGTGACGTCCAACTAACAAACCTCATGATTTTCATATATATGCTCATTTTGTAAGTTACATATGCTCAATTGGTACTCATGTTATGCTCATTTTTAAAATGTCATAACAATGCATATTTTAAAAGTACCATATTATATTCGATTCACATATTGAAATTCATATGAATTGATTATAGTTATAATTTAATGAGTTTTTATAAAAGAAAAAAGAAAGAAAAAAGAAAGTGAATTACAATATATGAAATTGATATCGCATTACTCATTATTCGACTCTTAATGCTCAATAGAATACATTTGATGCTAATTAACAGGCGATTTGAACTCAATAAAAACGTCTTGATGCTCAATTGGTACTCAATTGCACGCTTTTAATACTCAGTAGAGGAGGTTTAATGCTCAATGAAAAATGTCCGTATGCTCAACATATTAATGCTTATTTTGTAAGCTACATATGCTCAATCGATACTGATATTATGCTCATTTTTTATGAAGCACAGATCACGATTTTGAATATTAGACTTCTAATACTCAATATAATAGGTCTGATGCTCATTAAAAGTTCATTAATGCTCATTCAACAGAAACCGTGAATTTCATCTCAATAACGAAGGTTTGATGCTCAATTAAAATGTTGTGATGTTCAACTAACAAAACAACTAAAAAAATTCAATAATACTCATTTTGTATGTTACGTATGCTCATCAGGTACTGATGTTATGCTCATTTTGTAAATGTCATATCAATGCATTTTTAAAAGTACTATTCTAAATTACATTTACATAATGGAATTCATAGGAGTTGATTATAAAGATAATGTAATAAGTTTTTATAAAAGAAAAAATAACAAAAAAAGAAAGTGAATTAGAAGTTATGAAGCAGAGATCATGATTCTGAATATTGGACTCCTAATTCTCAATATAAAAGGTTTGATGCTCATTAAAAGTTCATTATTACTCATTTGTTACTAATGTAATGCTCATTTTTACAATTCATATCAATGCATATTTCAAAAGTATCAATAGTGGAGGTTGAAAAATCAATTAAAATGTCATGATGTTCAACTAACAAATGTTACGATTTTCATATCAATGTGCACTTTGTAAGTTATGTATGTTCATTTGGTACTCATGTTATGCTCATTTTTACAATGTCATATAAATATAATTTTCCTTTTATAAAAACTTATTAAATTATATTTCTAATCAACTCCTATGAATTTCAATATGTGAACCTAATGTAAAATAGTACTTTAAAGAAAATATGTTGATATGACATTTAGAAAATAAGCATAAGATCAATACCAGATAAGCATGCACATCTTACAAAATGTTCCTAGATATGAAAATCGCAAAGTTTGTTACTTTGAATAACAACATATTCATTGAGCATCAAATATCATATATTGAGATGAAAATCACTGTTTCTGTTACATGAGCATTATTAAACTTTTAATGTGCATCAGACCTATTATGAGCATTAAAACAATTTTGATGAGCATCACGCTTATTAGGAACCTAACACTATATAAAAAAAAATATATAAATATATTTATATAAATTAATACTATCATTCATAGATCAAATAAATACTTCAAAAATATGAATTACTCTTTTAATGAAGTAATAATGAGAAAAGGCAAAAGAATAGTTAATATTATAATTACTATTAATAATACGCAGTATGAAACTATATAAGATAAGTAAGATAAAAGAACTAAATATTACAACAAGACGACTTGGTTAGATGGTTGGAAGATAGCATATGCTATTATTGGTCACGGGATCGAATCCCGTTGGAGTTCTTTATTTTTTTGTTTAGGAATCCAGTTCCCTACTACCAGTCAAATTCATTAATTGGGCCGGATGTACGTACATCCGGGTGTACGATATAGGGACTCAACTCACATCGCAAATCGCAAATATGAATAAGTTTAAATTCTCCACCTTACTGAATTTGGTCAACTTTGACTGACACGAGGAATAAGAAAGTTAATATTGTACGCTTGATGTTTGTACGAAAGAAAGCTAAATAAGATTAGTCACACATATGTTATTTCAAAAAGAATTTGTCAAATTTTATATAACCACTAAAACAAGTTAATAAGTTTCAATGAGCTTGAAAGAGTAAAGGACATTACTTTATTATCTAGATACTAGACTAGATATATAGGAAGTACTACACAATAGTAAATGAAACAAAATGATGATTGCAACAATTATGATAATAGCAACATGGATGGTCGGTGTTCGCCGGCCGCATCCTCTCAATAAATGGGAAACAATAGTGAAATCACAGGTGTCTAGTGGTGGAGCTGATTGTGTGGCTGGTCTAAAGTCTCTATGAGAGGATTGAGAGGCACCTTGGGCCTCCTTCCCCTAGTTAAATGTAAATATGATATAGTAGCCCGCGATCCTATACATCGGTTTATTATTTGATATTCAACCATTAAGGGTCGTT